ACCAATGGAATAGAATGGAGAGCCTAGAATTAAATCCACATACCTATGGCGAACTGATCTCTGAGGAAGGGGCTAAGAATAAGCCTTGGGGAAAGGATAGTCTTTTCAATAAGTGGAGCTAGGAAAATTGAATATTCTCAAGCAGAAGAATGAAACTAGATGCCTATCTCTCACCATACACAAAAATCAGCTAAAATTGATTAAAGATTTACATGTAAGACTTGAAACTATAAAACTACTACAAGAAAACAGGCACAATGCTTTAAGACATTGGAATGATTGAAGGTTTTTTGGATAATAGTTGAAAACATAGATGACAAAAGGAAAATTATGGAGTTATAGCAAATTAAAAAGCTTCTGCAGAGCAAAGGAAACAAGGAAGAATATGTAAACCACAAAATGGTAGAGAATATTTGCAAACTACACATCTAATAAAAGTTTAATAAACAGAATTGGCAAGGAACCTTTGTGATTCAATAAGGGAAAAACTATTCAAAATTGGGCCATTGACTTAAATAGACATTTCTGGAAAAAGATATACAAATATATATATATATATATATATATATATATATATAAATGTTCAACATCACTAATTATCAGGAAAATGCAAATAAAAACCACTACATGATAGATACCACCTCACTTTGATTAGAGTGAACAGTATCAAAAAGACAAAACGTAGCAAGTATGAAGTTGGGAAGAAAAAAAAATTCTTACACACCATTGGTGGAAATGTAAATTAGCAGTGCCATCATGCTATTATGGAAAAAAGTACAAAGCCCCTTTAAAAGTTAAAAGTAGAATGCCATATGACCCAGCAATTCTCCAGCAATTCTACTCTTAGGTATATACCAGAGAAATGAAATCATATGTTGAAGATATACCTGAACTCCCATGTTTATTTCAGCACTGTTCACAGTAGTCTAGAAATGAAATCATCCTAAGGGTTCATTGACTGATGAGTGGATAAAGAAAATGTGATAGATACACACAATGGAATACTATTCACATAAACTGGAAGGCAGGGCTAAGTATGGTTATCTTTGGATCTTTCACATACAAATTTAATTTTGTATGTGAAATATATTGATATATTAAATTTAATTTAATTGATATATTAAATTTAATTTTTAACACTTTTTACTTTCACAGTAAAGTGTTAAAATTAAATTTAATATATCAACTAGTGAAATCCTCTCATTGGTGATAACATGAAGAGGACTGAAATGAAACATGCCGGACACACAAAGACAAATACCGCATGATCTTACTCATCTTAAAAATGGAATCTTAAAAATGTTGACCTCACTAGAAGCTTAGAATAGAATGGTGGTTACCAGAGTCTGGGGAAAGTAGAGGGGTTGAAGAACCAGGAAAGTTTGGTCAACTGATACTAAGTTATAGTTAGGAGAAATAAGTTCTGGTATTTGCAGTAGGGTAACATAAGATATGAATAATGTTTTAAATAAAGAAAAGATATTAAATGTTTTCACCACAAATGATAAATATTTGAGGAGACAGATTTGCTTACCTTGCTTTGACCCTTATATAATGTATACTTATATTGAAGTATCCATGGTACTCTCCATAAATGTGTACAATTTTATGTATCCATTAAAAATGAAACAGGAAATCATCAATGTAACAATGAAATAATCAACAAATGAATACTATGAAGTATTTGTAGATAAAACCTATTAAGAGTAATTCATTTCTACCCAGTGAAACAGTAAGTGAAACACTTTGCTTTCAAATATGGAACAATGAAAAATCATACCCATTTTCTAATTCTTCTATGAGATCATTCTGGTACCTACTTTCAGAATAAAAGATAAGAACATGATTTATTATATTTATTATATATCTATATTCTTCTAACTTATGCTAATTTATACTATACTAATCTGTACTAATTTTAATCTATTATACCAATTTTCAATGGTCTTGCAAATAAAATTATCTATAATTCAGTTAATTTTTAGTGATAAATAATGCTGGTTATAAGAAATTCATTAAAAGATAAAAGTAGTTTCTGTTTTCATAGTAAAAACATAAGAATGGGTTACTGGTCAACTACAGATTAAACATTATCATTCTTTATTCAACATACATCTAAAGATACCTGACATTTTAGTTGTACTTATTACAAATCAGGACAGTTTAATAATATCAGTCAGTATTATTTTCTCATTTGCTGTTAGATCACAAATGAGAAAATATCACATAGGCAATGTTTAGCCATCTAGCCAGCAAACGGGAAAATAGAACCCAGGCCAAGAGTCTTCCATTGGTACTCAATCAAGTCTAATTATTTATTGTCTTCTGTCTGGGAAGTCCCATAGAACATGAAGTATTGATTTAGGAATTTTCTGGACATGACTGTGTTGCAACTTGTTCTTTTATATCACTTCTTAATATATGATAAATTGTTCTTATGTATGCTATGATGAGGCTGAAAAACAAATTAAGCCTGGCTATTTAATAAACATGGATTATAAACACTCAACTGCCTTCATAATTACTAATGGGGGTCCTGACATTCACTCCATGGTATGCAGGACTGCAGGGTGCATTATGCACATCTATGTTGAACATCTTTACCTCACAACGGCACAGCCTCTCTGCACCCCAGAAGGCCTGGTTCCAAGTGGAATTGGGTGAGCCTGGGTGTTCCTCCTGATTCACCTGGGGATTCTCAAAGCCATGACTGGGGGAGGGGCTTTAGATACTGGGGAGGTTCTTAGGCTGAGCAGAGAAGGAGTTTGTCAGAAAGATCAGGAGTTATTCATGGCCAGGGGATAAGAGGAATCTGGACGAATTATGGAGAAAAAAAAATACAGTAAAGCAGGAAGGATGGCAGCATGCAGGTATTTCGTCTGCTGAAACCCTTTGCTCTGGACATGTCCATATAATACCCAATACTACAAGTGAGGGCCACACATTAGTACATGTCTTTAGTATTTATTTGTTTGATTCACTCAGTCAGCATTCCCCTTTTGAAGCCTCTAGAGTCAGACTGCCTAGTTTCCAAATAGGCTCAGCTACTCTCTGGGAAAGGGATCTTAAGCCAATTGCTTATCCTCCCTTGGCCTCAGTTCCTCCTCTCTAAAAGGAGCATGAAGTATCTCCATGGGGAGAGCCTGCCTATGAATAGACACCATAGTGAACAACACAGAGCCAAGAGAGGGAGAAAGAAGTCTCATGGTTTGAGTTTCTGTTTCCAATCTTATCTCAATGGAGTGTGCTCTTTGGATCTTCTGATTTTATGAGGAAATTGATTCTTAAACCTGTTTGTGTTGGATTTGCAACCAATTTTTAATGTTTAATACAAATCTTCTTCAATTTGACTGGGATCATATGATTCTCTTTGTTATCTGTAAAGGGTCCTATACACAAAAGACAATATATGTTTATTAAACATATAAATGATCTAAAATTTATAAAAATTCTAAAAAATACATTAATTTAATCACTTGTGCATCAACATATCATCCTAGGTAATTCAAATTCAATGTAAGTGTGTCTTGGCACAGGAAGCAAATTCTTCTGTAGAGAAACACATTAGTCCTGAGGACCTTGTTGAATGAATAGAATTCCGAAGAAAACTGCCAGGAGAGGCCAGAGATTCCGTAGGAAAGAACTAAGTTCTTTTCAACATAAGCATCTTAGTGATCATCTGCTCTGTTCCTTAACTTCCCTGAGCACCATTCTTACGTAAAAGGTGGAAAAAATAATATCTACCTTACAGCTCAAAGGATCTCATTTATAGGACTAAAAAGGACACAAATGCTGTTTGTTGTTCACCTCTCCTCCAGATACCTGGGGTTCAATTGGTGATGAATATACACCTGTCATATCAAGTACCTACAGGTGTTAATTTTTCCCCCTATTTAAATACACAATGGGAGTCACATTTCAAGAAGATCCGTGCAAACATTTGGATCTGGGGTGTGATCTTTGGTGGAATATTCAGTGTCCTCAACTATGAAAGGATTGGTTTCACTGGCATTTGACCCTAAGGTTCCCTTCAGCTCTGCTTTTTTTCAGGGCTCCAGAGGATAACTGTAACGCAAGTTCCTAACAGGGTCTTTAAAGGGTTTTTCCTGCCTGTTTGTACCTGGGAGCTGCCGCTCCTCACCTCGAGGTGTTCTTGGTGGGCGTGGCGAGAAGCACCTGCTCCCGGGCTTTCCTTGAATCTTGCTCCAATTTCCTTATTTTAAAGGAGTAGTTCTGCAGTCTCTGAGCTAGTCCCTCAAGTGTGCTTTATGAGATCCAGTTTCAATCTCCCGGTGGTAGCTTTCAGGTCCCGTTACAATTCCCTAGAGCTCCCAGTGCGTGTGTGCGGGAGGAGAAAACCGGGGAGAGACAGAGTTGGGGCACGAGGATCTAGGCTCCAGTTACCTGTCCTCAAGGTCCCCGCGCAACACCGCCAAGCGCGCGGCGGGGCCAAGGAACGCCGCGGCCCCTTTAAGAGCCGGGCCCAGGCCGGCTCTGGGGCCGCGGGAGCCCAGAGCGCCGCGCGCCGCAGTGGAGTTGGGAGCGGGCGCAAAAGTTTCCTCCCAACTCCGGCCTCGCGCGCCGCCGCCGCCGCCCACTCCAGCCCGGGGCCTGGGGCCGGCCCTGCCACCGTTGCCAGGGCCAGGGCCAAGGCCAGCGCAGGGCCAGGCCGGGCCGAGCCTACGGTTTCACTTTGGCGGTCGAGCAGCAGCCGCCTGGGCCGGGCCCGAGCAGCAGCTGGAGGAGCGGGCCACGAACCGTCGTCACCGGCCACCTGGGAGGTAGCCCTTCCCGCCGCCGCCCCCTCCTCGATTCCCACCCGCCAGCGGCCTCCTACGTAAGTGGAAGGGGAGCTGCCGCGAGCCCCTGTCCCCGAGGGGTCTCCGGGGAGAGGTGCCGGGCTCCCGGGCCGCCAGCGCCCGGCCATCCCCCGAGTGGGGGCTGCATCCGCGGGGCCAGACACCTGTCGGTGGGACCCGGCGCGGTAGACCAGAGCCAGGATGAAAGTAACTGTGTGCTTCGGCAGGACGGGCATCGTGGTGCCCTGCAAAGAGGGCCAGCTGCGCGTCCGGGAGCTCACCCAGCAGGCGCTGCAGCGGTACCTGAAGACCCGGGAAAAGGTGAGCGCCGCGCGGTGGGCGTGCAGGCAGGACCCGAGAAAGGGGGCGCGGCTGCTGCGCGGGCTACCCACGAGTGCCCCGAGGCCAGCGCACCTGCCAGGTGCTCTGAGACCTGAAGGCGCTGTTAAGGAGACGCACAGCACCCAGGCGACTATTGGGCTCAAGTTGTGGCTGCAACTTTGATGTGTTGCTAACATAAGTGACTCAGGTGCCTTTGGGCGTTTGTGCTTGGAATGACAGCATCCCATCGCCCTCAATTGCGGACTCGTTAGAAATAAGCAATCTGGGACTCCAGTCCAAACTCACTAACTCGTTGCTCTTTAATATGATTTCCAGGTGATTGCAATACCCTAAGAAGTTTGAGACTCACAGGTTTAGAACTCTTTTGCTGGGACACTAGGTGCTGCTCACTTGAAGTGTGATTTTTGACCCCTTAAGGCCCGCCTTACTTAGGCTCGGTGGAGTTAGAAAGTTTATTGGTGCAAATAACACTTACACAAAGTTATAACTGATAAGGCCTTTGGAGTTTCAGCCTCATGAGCTGACCTCTTAAGGATTTGGGTAGGAATTTAGGTGGAAGGATGTCATTTGCCTGCATCAATCAGTCTACATTGAACGTGTTAACTGTAGATTCTATGAGCAATTACTAGGTGAGTCCTGCCGGGTCCTGAGTGATTATTAAAATGAGGAAGATGCCCTCAGCTCTGTCCCTGAAGTCAGTAACAAGTAAAAATTAACCTTTTTAAAAAAAAAAAATAATGCAATACATGTGCAGAAAATATAGCTATGCTCTAGAATTCACTCAGGTGTTTGGGTAATATGTGCCTTTGTGCCTTCCTTGAATGAGCACTTTGAAAGTTACCTTTTACTTTGTTGAATTCTCACATGGAACATTTTATATACCCAGAATTATCTTCAAGCAGGGCAAGTCACAAACTCTTGTTTTAGGTGCCAGCAATTCTCTTGATATTTGTTCTCATGTTATGGGATTACCTAAGTAGTGTACATTGGCCAATCTGGTGATGGAAAAATGTAAGTTTTAATTTCTTTTAAGGTCATAGGTTATCCAACATATCCAAGTAGTTTTGTTTCTTTCAAGTATATAGTAGAGGAATTTAAGAAGTACCTGTACCTTCTAAGCTTCCACTATGAATTACTCTATAGAAAAATCTGGTTCTGGACAAATACATGTGTATTTTACTTTGAGCATCAATAACTGGAGGATAGTACAGTGAAAGGTTTATTGGGATATTAAGTATAATCTGTGAAGCTGAACTCTTTGCTGATAGAATTGAGATGAGGGAAAAAATTTAAGGTGGTCTATAAAGCAATATGAGAATTCACCCTTTTTTTAGCATTACTACATTAGCATGTGTTATTTATATATGTCAGTTAAAAACAGATCTAAATGTGTAACCAATTGTTTTTGAAGTCATATTTCATTAACTTCTGAAAGTTGGCTAGGGTTAGGAGTAATGATAATAGTATATCTTAAAGGATTATCTTATTAAGATAATAAATTAATTTTAATTTGTTATTAAAAATAATTTGGCCTCCCAACTCTTACACATTTAGAAGTTTACTACAGGGCTAAGTTGTCCAAATATGGAGGTAAACCACAAGCTTCTAAATAACATTCAGAGAACTAACCAACTGATTTTTAATGCAATGTAATTTGATCTTAAAAGGTGTTAAAAACTGTTGGGATTCTGGACTGGAAGCATAATTTATTTCAGAGAATGTGCAATGTAATTGCATTGATCAGTTTACTTTTAACAGACATCACATTTTTCTGTGTTTACATTTATATGTTAGTGAATGTGACATTTAAAGGTTACCTGCAGCTTATAAAATTTTCCTCATTTTTAGCTTTTAAAGTTTCAATTTGACAAGTGGTGTTTTCCTCCTCCCCATACTCCTTTCCTCTAGTTTCTTTTTAAATAATATAATCATAACAAGGCTCAACTGATAAATGGCACTTACAATGGAACAAAAATGTCAAGAAATACTCTAATTCTCTGCTTTTATTCATTGAATTTGAAAAATAATGGGAAAAGGCCATAAATGTCAAAATTCAATTAAAAACAATTTATAATAAATTCACTTTTCTGTAAATTTAGTGAAAGATTTAAAAGATCCCCCCCCCCCCCCCCACAGCAAAGTTTAAGCCCTGCACTCAGTAACAACTAACGAGTATTGTGCTTATTGCATGTAGCCTCTATTCCAGGAACTTTACATATATTACATGACTTCACTCTCAAAACAATCTTAGAAGGTAGATGTCCCCATTTCACAGATTGGGGGAAAAAAGGCATGAATAGTAAATTTGAATTGGATTGCTATCAGTCATTAACAACTTCACCTCATATGTTATAGACCAGAATATATGCATCTTTTCACAGATTTTGAAAAGACAATTGCCCCCTACTGATTCCTCAATATAGCAATCCCCCTCACCACCCCAGTAATGGGGATTGAACCCATGGCCTTACATATGTAAGGAAAATGCTCTACAATTGAACTATACCCAAGCCATGGGACATCAACAAATTTCTTTTGATTATACCTTTCATAGTTCAAGTGTACATGTTATAGGGAAAGGGACAACATCTGAAACAAATATTGTAGGATTTTCAAAGCAACTATAATAATAATCCTCAGCCTAATTACAAAAAAAAAAAAAAGGTCAAGGTCTTTTAGTCATCCAGGTGGAGAGAGCTATAATGAAGCAAACACAGTGAACATGAATTTGAGTTTTCCACTTTTGGGGGAAATATATTTTTCCTGAATAATTGGTATTAGAGCAAGGTAGATTTTAAGATTAGGATGGAAGTTGTAGTTTTTGAGGTTTAGAAGGCAGGGGAAAGCCCATAGAAGCCCTTCTGGATTTTGTAAACAGCATCAGAGGAGTAACCACCACCTGTTGAGAATAAACAAAGAAAACTGGTATTTGTGGAATGTTGGGAACCCGCCGAATCAACAGAACAGAAGTAGGTGAGATACTTAAGAACCAGGGGAACTCTTGGGAAGGCTCTAATGATATTCTTAAATTTGGGACTTTGAGGTTCCTGCTGCCAATGAACTCCATTAGAGAGGTAAGTTGACTAAGGGGTAAGAATTACAGGATGCCTTATCTTTGGATCCTGGTACTTTATCAGTGTCCTGGGCTCTAAATCCAATTTAGCAAAGTAGTTAGTGGAAAGGTGATTGTCTTCTTAAGTGGTCAAGATGGGAATCACTGAGTAATTAGTTAAATTTATCATCAAAATTACTGGTGTCACAGGTGAATGGATGATTGAATCACAACCTGTAGGGGTTCTCAATCCAGGCCTCCAATTTTAATGTTTAACATTTTGAACAGGACACATTCCCGAGTCCCTTTTGCCATTTTTTTTTTTTTTTTTTCATCCAGTGGGTATGGAGTGGAGCCTAGGCATAAGTATTTCAAAGAGCACTCCAAGTTATTCCAAGCCCAGCCAGAGTTGAGAACAGGTTATCTAGCACTCATCTTTTGCTTTTGCTAAAGTTAAAACTCCATTTTAAACTCTTTTGATAGCAGATTCTGTGTCTTAGATACCTGTAAACCCCCCTTTCATTAAGTGACTGTCCCTCTATTCTTACCCTGAATCAATTATTTCCTGGGAAAGTACTCAAATTATGAAATTGCACATCATGAGTCCAAGTGAATAGGAAGAGACTCCTTTAGTAATAAGAGTGTATAGTGTGTTCAGGAGTTCAAATGATTGAGATAAGAAGTTCATGAGCTAGTGAGCATGCTAGAATTTTAAAAATGCAAATGTATGGATCTGACTGTATATATGAATATACTTTTTATTTTAAAATAAATATTTGATAGGCTTTTCAAAATGAAGCTTTTCTGTATTCAGCTATTTTGGAGAGTTTGTTTTTATAAGTGGAGACCAGCTTTCCAGAACTTAGAATTCTCTGATAAGACTAACAACTCCATGATTAATCGTGGGATCAGGATGTAAGTGAATTTGTGCAGTAACAAAAATCTCGTATGATATGGTGTGATATTACCCTGGAGAAGTAGGCCCTAACGTGAATTTCTGAACTTTTCAGCATGTGATGCCTTGTTACCTAAATAGGCTCTAAGGTTCTTATGTACATAGTTTAGGTCCAGACTGAATTCCTGAAATGTTTATTGTGTGTTTGACTTACTTAAGTGCTTTATTTCCTATTCAGTCTTCTCCTCTTCTTTTGTATAGAGTAGATGTTCTTCCCTGAATGTGGATAGAACTGTTTCACTATCAGCTCTAACTTGCTTTGGCTTTTGCCACTGGACTAGAGTATTGGAAAGCTTCTAAATTTTTAAACATTGGGATCCTGGGGTCTGCTGTGACCCACAGACATATTTTCTTAGGTCTTAATGATCTGTTCTTATTTAGTTGTCAGTGTCTAAAATTTTTGAGATTTCACATAAAAATACAAATTTCAATCATCTTTTGGGGAAAAACAAATCAGAAACTCTCATAATACCTGGCTTTACTTTCCCACATGACAACTATCAGTTGGAATTAAGACACCTCTTTTGTCTTTAGAAGGAATTATTAATGCTCCAGTCTCCATTATTGTCCAGTGAGGGTAAATGATTATTGTTGGGTTTAACTTTTCTCTCTGTTCTTATTCTCTTACTTATGGCCCACTTAATGCATTGTTGCTATTTGTCTGGCCTCCTGGAAGACACTTGAGTTATGTCTCTGGACCTTCTCTTTCTCTCTTCAACATTTACAACCTGCACACAAGGTTTGCCGACCAGGGGTTGACTGCAGTTTGGTTCATTTGAGCTAGGGTAATTGCATTGTGTGGGATTAGGAGCCACAACTCTGATATGGAGGTTGGCATCTTGGGCTCAAATAGCTCAGTTAGTGAAGTATTCATTTCCAGGCATTCTGTGTAGAATCTTTTTGAGGAAGATGGACAAGTGGCATTAAATTTTTATGAAACTGTTTTCTAAAGAGACTGAGAGTTAAAATCAT